AGAAGCATTCTCAGAGACCAAGAAAGTTCTGTGCACTTCTGCTAATATGTGTTCAGTCAGGGTTTGAATTCCAGTGGGGCTTGGGGGAAGCCTCTGGAAGCCAGAGAGTATACAAATTTAGCTTTTCATTATCATATTCTCAGCCGATGGTTGTGCTAGATGGTCTCCCAACTAAAACAGGTGTATGTGGATGTTGGCTCCCAACAAATGCAGGCTTGCCAGTGAGAGAAAGAGCCTGCCATCACAAACATGGGACAGAAACTCTTTCAGATGTTAAGCAGGCTCCATGCTAATATGGCTTCCTTTCTTGCTATAATAATGCATTTCCTGGGAAGTACAGATGACAGATTCCCAAATAAGTGAAGAAAAATTACAATAGATTTTTTTCCCCTATCTCTTTGCTTGAATCCTTTCTGAAAGGTCTAATAATATCTCTGATACAGCTCTTCTCAAAATCTGATATTGGAGAAGCAGAGACCTTCTATAAAAATGAATATGGGAAAGACTGTCTAAGACAGATCTTAGAATCCTATCTTCTCAGTCAGCCTTGTCTCTCTTGTCAGACTCATTATTTAATAGCTTTCAGTTGTCATTTATGTGAGTGACTCCCACACCTCCAATTTTTTTGCTCAACTCCACTCACCTGTATATTTAGTTATCTGGTGGACATCTCTTCTTGAAGATGTAGCAGGTTTGTCAGACTTGTCAGGTTCTAATAGTGTATATTAATTTTTTATCTCTGATCAGATCTGGTTATCCTTTTCTAATGCTTTATTTCAGCGAATGGAAATCACTCATCTGTTTCTAAATCTAGGAACCAAGGAGTCATTCATGGCTCTTTTTTTACTTCTTAGTGAATTTTGGTCCTTTAGATTCTGACTTTTCTGTATGTCTTGTAATTGTTTATTCTTTCATTGTCATTGACATTGTTTATCATCAGGCTGTGTCATATGTTACATGGCTTCTGCAATAACTGCTAAACTGTTTTCCTCCCATTTAAATCCATTGTCTATACTGCAAACAGAATAATGTTTCTTTTAATGCAGATCTCAATTTGTCACTTCTTAAAATAAAGCTCAACAGTCATAACCTGTCATTGAAATACAGTCCAAATTCCTTAAGATGGCTTAAATAGTGGTTCGTGATGTAGATGTACTTTTGGCCCTTCCACTTCCACTTTGTGTTTGAATGTTGTCTTAGTTCCAGTTACTAAAACAAAATACCATAGACTGGGTGGCTCAATCAACAGACAATTATTTTGTATGGTATTGGAACCTGGAAATTCTAGATGAAGGTATTGGCAGATTCAGTTCCTAGTGAAGGTCTCTTCACCTTTTAACAGAATCCTCACATGTGTGTGCTCCTGTCTCTTTTACTTCTTCTAAGTGCTGCACTCAATATGTCAGCAAATCTGCAAAACTCAGCAGTGGCCATAGGACTGGAAAAGGTCAGTTTTCATTCCAGTCCCAAAGAAAGGCAATGCCAAAGAATGTTCAAACTACCACGCAGTTGCACTCATCTCATGCTAGCAAAGTAATGCTCAAAATTCTCCAAGCCAGACTTCAACAGTACGTGAAGTGTGAACTTTCATATGTTCAAGCTGGATTTAGAAAAGACAAAATTGCCAACATCCGTTGGATCATTGAAAAAGCAAGAGAGTTCCAGCAAAACATCTACTTTTGCTTTATTGACTACGCTGAAGCCTTTGACTTTGTGGAACACAACAAACTGGGAAATTCTTCAAGAGATGGAAATACCAGACCACCTGACCTGCCTCCTGAGATATCTGTATGCAGGTCAAGAAGCAACAGTTAAAACTGGACATGGAACAACCGACTGGTTCTAAATCGGGAAAGGAGTATGTTAAGACTGCATATTGTCACCCTGCTTATTTAACTTATATGCAGAGTATATCACGTGAAACATGGGGCTGGATGAATCATAAGCTGAAATCAAGATTGCTGGGAGAAATATCAATAACCTCAGATATGCAGATGACACCACCCTTATGGCAGAAAGTGAAGAAGAACTAAAGAGCCTCTTGATGAAAATGAAAGAGGAGAGTGAAAAAGTTGGCTTAACGCTCAACATTCAGAAAACTAAGATCATGGCATCTGGTCCCATCACTGCATGGCAAGTATATGGAGAAACAATGGAAACAGTGAGAGACTTTATTTTTTTGGGCTCCAAAATCACTGCAGATGGTGACTGCAGCCATGAAATTAAAAGATGCTTGCTCCTTAGAAGAAAAGCTATTACCAACCTAGACAGCATATTAAAAAGCATATTGTGTTGCCCACAAAGGTCCCATCTAGTCAAAGCTGGTTTTTCCAGTAGTCATGTATGGATATGAGAGTTGGACTATAAAGAAAGCTGAGTGCTGAAGTATTGATGCCTTTGATCTGTGGTGTTGGAGAAGATTGTTGAGAGTCCCTGGGACTGCAAGGAAATCCAACCAGTCAATCCTGAAGGAAATCAGTTCTGAGTATTAATTGGAAGGACTGCTGCTGAAGCTGAAACTCCAATACTTTGACCACCTGATGCAAAGAACCAACTCTTTGGAAAAGACCCTGATGCTGGGAAAGATTGAAGGTGGAAGGAGAAGAGGACGACAGAGGATGAGGTGGTTGGATGGCATCACCGATGCAATGGACATGAGTTTGAGAAAGCTCCGGGAGTTGGTAATGGACAGGGAAGCCTGGCGTGCTGCAGTCCATGGGGTTGCAAAGCATTGGACATGACTGAGCAACTGAACTGAAGGACAACTAATCCCATTATCGGGCCCTGACCATCATGACTTTGTCTAAACCTATTAATAATTATCTCTCAAAAGCCCTATTTCCAAATATCCTCATATTGGGGGTTAGAACTTCAACTTGTGAATTTTGGGGAATGTACACACAAACATCCAGTCTGTAACTAGTTTTAAGGGTCTACTTGAAGTTATTTGAATAAAACAGGTTAGCAGACTGTCCTGTATGCCAGATTTGACCAGTCACCTGGTTTTTCACAGCCTGAAAACTCAGAATGTTTTTTACACCTTCAGAGGTTACACTTTAAATGGTTTTATAAATACCTACATAATATACTTGATTCTGTCTGTAAGCTTGTAAAATCTGTAATACTTACTTTTCATCTTTTAAAAAAAGTTTTTGCCAACATTTAGAGTAATTATGTGTTTTGCTTCCTTGCCCTTACTGTACTGTTATTGCAGAAGGTACTTTCTTCTTCCATGTTCTAGAGGCCAAATTTGTTGTTCCTTAGGTTGTCTCGACTTGATTTTGTTTTATGTTGACTCTAATTTGCTAAAACTTATATCCATCTGATGAACCCTCATGACACTTGGACGTACCATTCTATGAAGAACTGTCTGTTTGAAGAAAGGTAACCTTGGAAGGTTGTTGTGACTTTGTTAAATTAACATTTGTTAACTAGAGCCCCAAGGTGTTGGCTGGTGAACCCCAATTCAACAAAAAATCACATGGGAAATTGAAGTAGAAAAGTTTATTGCTCACAGGTTCTGGAGGAAGGACATGGCATGCATTGAGGAGCCATACAAGGGCAGACAGTGACACGAACCTGGGGCATGTGCTTTTATTATTAGGGTCCATGGCTAGAGTGCGTTGAAGATTCCAGTGCTGTGGCTGGATTGGTCAGTTCAAACCAGAAAGCGCAGGGTTTTCATAAGCTCTGTGGTAGTCTTGTCTAAGGTTGCATAAGGGGCAGTACCTGGGAGACAGGGGAGACTGTTGCTCAGAAGGGCTGCTGGAGAAGCCCTGTTAGGAACTTATATTTGCTTGTGACTCTGGCTGTTATCTGGGGATGAGCTTGGGGAAGGGGCCACTCAGTTCAAGACTCCTGCAGGCTGCTTGGCCACACAAAAATGGATGCCACGGCAGCAATATCATGGAGTAGTTTAGCTAAACTCAACTAAGATAGGGATTGTCTTTTACCCAGGGTTGTGCCTTGTGTATATTGGTTTTTATACGTGTTGAATTTTTGAAGGTGTGTCTTGTGGTTGCTTCATGGAGGCGGGATCAACTCCCCTCCACCCAAGTTAGTTTTGGTGTGAGGAAAGATGGTGCTACACATGTAGCAAGAGAATGTGGAAAGACTTAGTCACACAGTGAGACTTTCTGGGAACACTAGGGCAAGCACCCAAACTAGTCCAGATTGGCTTGAGTGAAGAGGAAAGAGGCAGGTGGTTGTGGTTATTATTGTAGTTAGTGGATGGGCTGAACTGAGGATTCCCATGTGGAGGCTAGATATATGTGGTTTCAACTTCTACTCTTGCTATAAGAGGTTGACTTTTTTTCATTGTCAATTTTGCTTATTATAAAAGCAGTATGTCCTTATTATGAAATAAAAAAGTATAAAAAGTCACAATCAAAAAGAATACAAAGAGCATAAGCACATGTTGTCTTATGTAGTGGAAAATAATAATTCTTTGGTATATCACCATTTGGACATTTAAATATGTTTTTCAGCATTAAAGATGAGGTCACATTGTACAGATGTAATTGCTTCCCCCCCACCATTTTACAGAACGTCTTTCCATGTCTTTAGATAAGTTTCTGAAACATCATATATAATGATTTATTATTGATGAGTGTTAATGTGATTTTCTGTGCATTAGTTTCCTCATCTCTAATATGGAGATTATATTAGTTACAAAATCAAAGTAAAGACTAAAATTAATTGATACCTGTAAAGTGCTTAGAACAGTATCCTACAGGTAATGAACACTGTAAGTTTTTAAAATGCAAATGAAAACCAGCTGGTGGGGAAGAAGACTAGGGAAAGGATGTTAAAATAGCTTAACCAAGCAAACCAGTTGAATTTATATATTTATGTTTTTTCATTTAAAGATTGTATCTTTAAAATCTTTTCTTTACCACACAAACATTGAGTAAAATGAAATTCTCATATATCGATGTTCAGAAATAATGCTTATACTGAGCTAGGTTATAGCATTATTTTTTTTTTGCCTTTATTGCCAGGATATTCTGAATAATCTTGAATCATGTGACCTTGAGGATGATGACCTTATGCTTGATGTGGATCTGCCTGAGGATACACCTCTTGAAAATGGTGAGTGGGGATAATATTGAACCTCCAGAGCTACTTGACAATACCCAGTTTGGTATTTGTTATCTACAGACTTCCTAATCTCTATGAAGTAGCCTTTTCAGACTGAGAGTCCGTCTTAAGTGACATTAAATAGGTTCATTTGCACACTTGTTTAAATGTTTAAGACCTGACTTTGTAGGTCTTAGGTATATACTCTATGTGACCCAATAAAGTTGTGTACCTGTGTTATAAAGTAACTGGTAGATACTGTTTGTCCTTTTGTTCCCTTTGTGCCTGCTCACTTTTTCATCCCTTTGTCTCATTTGGATTTTAAGGAGAAATACATTTAGAGAAAAAGAGATACCTTTTGTCTTATGAAACAGTAGTAAAGACCATTAAGTTAATAAATATTTAAAAAAAATCAAGATGGTGACCTGAATGAATCACTTTATTCTTTTTACTCCCCGGTTCAGTCCGTCTTTGTCTCTGGATCCAGTAACTTCTGAAGTGGGGCTTTAGATAATCCGTGTAAAAGACGGGCCTGGAGGCTCTTGCCTCCACTGATGTAGCATTTGTAGGATTTTCTGTCTTGAAGACTGGTTAAGAACCAGAGACTAGCCTAGGAAGCCTCTGGGGCAAAGATTGAAATGAAATCCTCCTGGTAAGAAGAATCTCAGAGAGCTGTGGCTTTCTTGTCAGTCAGCACTTGCCAGGTTTCTTTGACTTTCTGGGGCAGGGGTGAACTAAAAAGGGTAGTAAAGTCCTTTTTATACCCAATGCTAGAAGAATACAAGGGTATTTTTCAGAGAGGCTGGTTGGTTGGTCTAGTGCTTCACTGAGGTTCTAGGAGCCTGCTTGCTGCTCGCTTTTGTCATATTAGTCAGGCTTATTTTTCTCCCTTACTGCCAGGATGCTGCATAATAATCACTCTCAGAATCTCTGGCTTTCAAAATAAACTAATTTTTTTTGTTTTCTTGAATTTGTGGATTAGCTGGGACAATTCAGGCTGTGGGACTGAGTTTAGGTCTACTCATTGCTGCTTCATTTTGAAACCAGGACTCCTTGGAGCAGGTCGTGCTCAATGCAAATAGCAAGCAGAAGGACAACAGGGAGAGCAGAAATATGCATATAATATCTCTTAAAACTAATGACTTAGAACCAGTACACTGTTAACTTCTACCCGCATTCTGTTGGCTAAAGCAAGTTACATGGCCAAGCCTAACACCAGTGGGACTGGGAAGTGTACTCTGCTCACTGTGTGAATCTCTGTGGTGGAGGACATTGGATCTGTGAGTCTGTTGAAAGATAGTGTGGAGCTGAGAACAGTATCTATTCTTCCACAGGGACAGAGACTGTTGCATCTTCTTATGGTTCTGCTGTCACTTGGGATACTCCAGCAGTCAGTGCTCAGTTCTAGTCAACTGAGAAAGAAAGGTCACAGCCAATACCCAGGAAAAGCAACAGGGAAAACAGCAGAATGGGGTTAGAGTGGCCCAAAGAGATAATAACAAGGGTATTTAGATTCCACTGCAGCACAGTGCTTTCTGGAGCTTATAAAAGATTTCCCAACAGAACAATAGATGACAGAAAGCATAGCCATGTTTGAAATATAAATTAGTGTCCTGGAAGATCAAGTGGAAAAAATATTATAGAATACAGATGAAAAGCATAAACCATTAACAATTATAGGAGAAAAGATAATGAGATGTGATCTAGAAGATTTAATGTGAAGATTTTAGGGCTGGTATTGAGGGTGACTCAGCTGGTAAAGAATCCTCCTGCAATGCGGGAGACCCCAGTTCGATTCCTGGGTTGGAAGATCTCCTGGAAAAGGGATAAGTTAACCACCCCGGTATTCTTGGGCTTTCTTGGTGGTTCACATGGTAAAGAATATGCCTGTAGTGTGGGAGACCAGGGCTCAATCCCTGGGTTGCAAAGATCTCCTGGAGGGGAGGGCATGACAACCCACTCTAGTATACTCTCCTGGAGAATCCTCATGGACAGAGGAGCCTGGTGGGCTTCAGTCCATGGGGTCGCAAAGATTTGGACATGACTCAGCAACTAGGCACACAAACAGACACAGTGAGAAATGAAGGATTTACCTCCATGAAATAAAAACTATCCTTGATAATGGATTTTACTTTGATAGAGCTATAACAACTTCTCTCTGGAAGCCTGAGCTAAACCAGGAAGCAGAGAGATGATGTTGGTCTTAGAGCCTGCCTCATCTTTCAGTTCAGTTCAGTCACTCAGTCATGTCCGACTCTTTGCGACCCCAGGGACTGCAGCACGCCAGGCCTCCCTGTCTGTCACTGACTCCTGGAGACTACTCAGGCTCATGTCCATTGAGTCAGTGATGGCATCCAACCATCTCATCCTCTGTCGTCCCTTCTCCTTCCACCTTCAATCTTTACTAGCATCAGGGTCTTTTCAGATGAGTCAGTTCTTCACATCAGGTGGCCAAAGTATTGGAGCTTCAGCTTCAACATCAGTCCTTCCAATGAATACTCAGGACTGATCTTCTTTAGGACGGACTGGTTGGATCTCCTTGGAGTCCAAGGGACTCTCAAGAGTCTTCTCCAACACCACAGATCAAAAGCATCAATTCTTTGGCACTCAGCTTTGTTTATAGTCCAACTCTCACATCCATACATGACTACTGGGAAAACCATAGCCTTGGCTAGATGGGCCTTTGTTGGCAAAGTAACATCTCTGCTTTTTAATATGCTGTCTAGGTTGGTCATAACTTTTTTTCCAAAGAGCAAGCATCTTTTAATTTCATGGCTGAAGTCACCATCTGCAATGATTTTGGAGCCCCCCAAAATAAAGTCTGCCACTGTTTTCACTGTTTCCCCATCTATTTGACGTGAAGTGATGGGACCAGATGCCATGATCATAGTTTTTTGAATGTTGAGCGTTAAGCCAACTTTTTCACTCTTCTCTCTCACTTTCATCAAGAGGCTCTTTAGTTCTTCACTTTCTGCCATAAGGGTGGTGTCATCTGCATATCTGAGGTTATTGATATTTCTCCCAGCAACCTTGATTCCAACTTGTGCTTCATCCAGCCCAGCGTTTCTGATGATGTACTCTTCATATAAGTTAAATAAGTGGGGTGACAATATACAGCCTTGATGTACTCCTTTTCCTATTTGGAACCAGTCTGTTTTTTTACGTCCAGTTCGAACTGTTGCTTCCTGACTTGCATACAGATTTCTCAAGAGGTGGGTCAGGTGGTCTGGAATATATTCCCATCTCTTTTAAGAATTTTCCACAGTTTGTTGTAATCCACACAATCAATGGCTTTGGCATAGTCAATAAAGCAGAAGTAGATGTTTTTCTGGAACTCTCTTGCTTTTTCAATGATCCAGCAAATGTTGGTAATTTGATCTCTGGTTCTTCTGTCTTTTCTAAATCCAGCTTGAATATCTGGAAGTTCACGGTTCTTGTGTTGTTGAAGCCTGGCTTGGAGAATTTTGAGTGTTACTCTGCTAGCATGTAAGATGAGTGCAGTTGTGCAGTAGTTAGAGAATTCTTTGGCATTGCCTTTCTTGGGATTGAAAACTGACCTTTTCCAGTCCTGTGGCCACTGCTGCGTTTTCCAAATTTGCTGGCATATTGAGTACAGCATCTTCACAGCATCATCTTTTAGGATTTGAAATAGCTCAACTGGAATTCCATCATCTCCATTAGCTTTGTTCGTAGTGATGCTTCCTAAGGCCCACTTGACTTAACATTCCACGTTGTCTGGCTCTGGGTAAGTGATCACATAATCATGATTATCTAGGTCATGAAGATCTTTTTTGTATAGTTCTTCTGTGTATTCTTGACACCTCTTTTTAATATCTTTTGCTTCTGTTAGGTACATACCATTTGTGTCCTTTATTGAGCCTGTCTTTGCATGAAATGTTCCCTTTGTATGTCAGATTTTCTTGAAGAGATCTCTAGTCTTTCCCATTCTATTGTTTTCCTCTATTTCTTTGCAATGATCACTGAGGAAGACTTTCTTATCTCTCCTTGCTCTTCTTTGGAACTCTGCATTCAAATGGGAATATCTTTCTTTTTCTTCTTTGCTTTTAGCTTCTCTTCTGTTCACAGCTATTTGTAAGGCCTCCTCAGACAGCCATCCTGCTTTTTTGGATTTCTTTTTCTTGGGGGTGTTCTTGATCCCTGTCTCCTGTACAGTGTCATGAACCTCTGTCCGTAGTTTATCAGGCACTCTTATCAGATCTAGTACCTTAAATCTGTTTCTCATTTCCACTGTATTAATTGTAAGGGATTTGATTTAGGTCATACCTGAATGGTCTAGTGGTTTCCCCTACTTCAATTTAAGTCTGAATTTGGCAATAAGGAATTCATGATCTGAGCCACAGTCAGCTCCTGGTCTTGTTTTTGCTGACTGTATAGAGCTTCTCCACCTTTGGCTGCAAAGAATATAATCAGTCTGATTTCAGTGTTGACCATCTAGTGATGTCCATGTGTAGAGTCTTCTCTTGAATTGTTTGCTATGACCAGTGTGTTCTCTTAGCAAAACTGTTAGCCTTTGCCCTGCTTCGTTTTGTACCCTAAGGCCAAATTTGCCTGTTACTCCAAGTGTTTCTTGACTTCCTACTTTTGCATTCCATTGCCTCATCTTTAGAGCATAGCAAAAAGGTATCCCTTTAAAGTAGAATCAGAAGGAAGTTTAAAGTTTTTGAGGTTTTGTTTGTGAAGCCGCTCAGTTATGTCCAACTATTTGCGATCCCGTGGACTGTAGGCTCCTCTGTCCATGGGATTTTCTAGGAAAGAGTACCGGAGTGGGTTGCCATTCCAAGGATCTTCCCGACCCAGGGATTGAACCCGGGTCTCCCACATTGCAGGCCGACGCTTTTACCGCCTGAGCCACCAGGGAAGTCTTTCATAGGTTTTGTTTGGGGACCTATGAAAAATTGGAGGGAAATCCTGAGATAAAACATCTCTCACATTACAGATTTTCTGAGAAGGCAGACAAGTATTGAGTATTTTGAGCTAATTGAACACTAAGG